GGATACAGTGTAGGGTATGTTGTAGGATACAGTGCAGGGTATGGTGTAGGATACAGTGTGGGGCACGTTGTAGGATATATTGTATATTATTAGGTATGGTGTAGGATACAGTGTGGGGCATGTAGGATATATTGTAGGATATGCGGCCACACTGTGCAGATGGTGTAGATTCTATGCAGAAGTATAATTAAATCAGCCTTAATTTAGCTGGGTCATGTATCCATGTAAATAATTTTGTGGATCTTCAAATCCAGTCTTTAAATTACACTGGGCAGTAATTTATATACGGGTGAGTGATTTTTATCCATATTTTACTCATGCTGCCTCCTTCTAGACAGCAGCAGGCTTCAATCAGTTTTATAGTCCATATTCAGTGGAAGGAGTCATCGGTGTAATGAAAATCAGCAAGGAGGCCCTGGGCACTCTGTGTGAGTGAGGGACCAGCCTCATGCATTTCTTTCCGATTGGGTTAGGAGAATGATGTCAGCCTCGATCGCCCAGCTCATAGGCCGTTAAGCTCTGTTTGTGGTTACATTCAGCTTGAGATTGGCTTTGGTTGGGACGTCTGAATATGAATAGTTAGTTGGTGAATGCTCAGTCAAGTGCCAATGCATTTTCTGTGTTTTTTTCTGATTTTAATTCTGTTCAAATGTGTTTAAATTTTTCAGTATTTTCTGGTTTACACGACAGCTAATAAAACACATTTTTAAGATTTTGTCTGAGCATCAGATTTTCTGTGGGCATGAGTTGTGTTGCAGGATAATGGTCCTTTGCCCATATGTGTCATGCTGCTTCTGAGCTTCCTGCTCACCACCTTCCTTTCATATCACCAGACTCCCAAAAAAAGGCTGATAAGCGCAGCTGCTGAGGAAACAGGCAGCTTCTGGTAGTTGTATGAAACAGCTCATAGTGCAGATAATGACCTGAATGACTCTCTCTCTCTCTCTCTCAGGCTCTGTTCCTGGGAGGATGTGTTTCCTTATCTGCCTTTAATTAGAAAGGAAACAAAGCGTTTAGAAACCGCAGAAGACGCTTTGGTGTTCCTCGCAGACACTAATGATGATCTGAGAGGGGCTGAAGCAGAGATGTCTGGGACTGGCGTGAAGGTTCAGGGGTACATTTCTCACGGGGCATCATGGGAGGCCGGCCGCCCTCTCTTGCCAATCTGGGCTTCTTTCTCTGAGCAGGAGCTGAAGCTCCACACTCCCCAGGGCCCCCCACCTTTCTACAGAGCTGCCTTTTTTCCACTGGCTAAATATGAACCCAAACAGGTTGTTTTTCCATAGCAGGCCACGGATCGCTAGGGTCCCCAGTTGCCATGGCCGGTGTTGACGTCCTGTCAGGTTCCCGGGTGGTGCTGACTCACAGCACGGTAACACTGGTGTGGTTAAGGCTCTGCTAATTATAAACTATTGACACTTTCCTTTGCAGTTTGCCTGTCCCTCACAGGCCTGGCCTCCCAGGAGATTTACATTCCCAAATCATCAGTGAAACTGATCCATTAAGTTATACTTTTATGTGTGTGCCAGTTGTTTATTGGTTATTAATGGAGGTACGCATATAGCGAAATGGCCGCACCCATGTGGACTAATAAATGGCCAAGATCCCCAAGAGAGTTTGCTGGCATTCATTTTCATTGAAAAATGGCCCTGTATGGTGAGAATGGATTAACATCCCATTTAACTCTCTGGGGTCGAGTATGTCGTCGGCGACATCGCGTACTTTTCGCGTCTATTTCAGTTTATATCTCGCTGAAATCTTAATGTAGAATCATGAAAAAAACGCTGGCTAGATCCGTAATCTGTCTTCTTTTAATACTTCCATTGTCGGAAGTATTAAAGTTTTTTTAATTAGGTTAAATCGGCAAAAAAGTAAACCATGTCATCTTACTTTGTTTTACCTGCATCGGGGGCGTATAGTACCGCTCTCACCCGAAGATCGCTGTTCACATTCTAAATAGCCGCATTAGCGCGTATTCAAATCGCATTGGCATGGTAATTTTATTAACAGCGCAACGGTTAAGATACATCCCCATCAGCGCCATAAAAGGGGGTGGGGGACGTGGCCAGGTGACAATGGCTCATTCATACACATGAAAGTTGCTACATATTCAATGAAAGCAGCCAGAAATAGTGACATGAGTTAGGTTTTTCTTATTTATTTATCCAAATGAATGTTGCAACTACACCATTTAGTATTCTTCATGTACCCAAGATTATGGTGATCAGATATCTGGGATCAAAACAAACTGCCAGCATTGCTTTGTATGTACTTTTATGTTTCTGCAAGTGTTCCAAACTGCATTTTGCAATGTCTATACTTTGATGTCAAATTACAAATTTAACAAAAATAAAGATGAGTGTAATGGAAAAGCAAATATATAAGAAATAATTTATTTGCCGTGAATTAAGTTTGATATTTGAAGAAATGTGTGATCATGCCCCAGTCAGTGAAAGTGTGTTTCCTACCCCTAGACCCCAGAGGGTTAACAGGCAGAACATTCCGGCCTATAAAACAGGGGAGCCATTTTAGTAGAGCCATGAAATCAGAATCCACCTTCCTTATTTGTATTTTCAAGCCTACAATCCCCTGTGCTCAGTGTTGATGCTGGGGCCTGCCCCCCTCAGACCTGCCCCCTCCCTGCAGGCTTGCCCCCCTTCGCAGGCCTACCCCATCTCTGCAGGCCTGCTCCCTCCCCACGTCAGGCTCTTCTGGCTGCTCGGGTCTCTCATGCAGCCATGAGGATTTGTGAAGCCGCACACAGGGAGCAGATTCACTGCCTTTCGCAGCCATACTTCAAACGCTTGGCAGGCCGTCGGGAGCCGCTGCAGTCTCTGGAGAAGCCTGCAGGGATGGGTTGGAGAGCCGGATAGTCCAGCAGCTGTTGTGAAAGGGGCCTTTCACTGGAAAATATTATCAGGAACGACTCCTGCAGCTTACGCTTTTATGTTTCATTCTGTGAGGTCCCCAGCCTCTCACCAGTCACTGATTTGGGCTTTCATAAAGTTGTTTACCCATTTTCAACAGCTCATTTCTTATTTTCAGTCTTTCTTTCTTTTGTCTTTCTTTTCCTCCCCAAGAAGAGACTCCTGCTCTGCTTCCCACCTCCCTTCATATCCGCCTTCCCTGTTTGGTAGCCATGGGGCAAACTGAGAGGAGGTTGACAGGGACGCACTGAACTTTGGCCATTTTCTCAACAGAAAAAAGCATCCTGGGCTGCAAGAGACAAATGAAAATGTCAAAAAATAGAAATAAATCGATCGGTAGATGCTTGGAGGGGCGTTGAAACAAGATTCCCTGCCATACATTTTTCATAATCATAACTGGAGATCTGTTGGAGGTGTCACATTTTGTATAATGTTTTCCGGTGAAAACAATGTTATGCAAGATTACTTAAGAAATAACCACATTGTGCTTTAATAATGTAGAGATTTTTTTTTTGGGGGGGGGTGCTTTTGTTTCATTGCGTCAAATCTCGATCGGCTGTATTCCTAAGCTTAGTTTGATGGATTGAGGCGACTTCCGTAGGGCCCGCTCGCCAATTGGGCGCTGTCTGAGCTCATATACACACGCCTTAAAGATCTCGCCATGGGGTGGCACAAGTGCTGGGCTCACCAGACCCAGTGTGGGGGGTTAAGCGGGCAGTGAACCTCCAGGGAAGAGGTCATTAGTGGATGAATTGTCTTGTCTTCCTGCAGGTGTCAAGGTCCCCGCCCCCCCCTTAGCTCGTCCCAGGTCCACGCCTGTCAAGCTAGCCCCTGCTGGACAGGAGGAGGCTTTGGCCAGCATCAGCTCCATCGAGGGGGACACCGATTCCTCTGGGAACCATTTCTTCTAACACGCAGCCTTCCAATCCACTCAGCTGATGCCCCACAGTTGGTTCACATAGGCCTCAGGGACCAGTCAACTACATTTAAGATTTGTATCTTATATTTTAAGATTTATGTCTTTGTAAAGATACTAAAAGTTTGTTCTGTATTGAAATTTTAAGTGAACAGTTTTTATGGCAATTTAAGCTGTTTATTTTCTCCCTGTTCTGTCAGGGTTTTAAGATGATATTTTATTGGTTTTTCGACGATTAAAGGCTTTCTGTTCTCATCCTTGCACTGCTTGCTGTCTTTCTTGCACTGATGCTCAGGTTGGGTTATTAATCTCCTTGGTTATGGTTCTTCCCACCAGCAGTTGCGCAGCCACTCTACAGAGGCCCGGCAGGAGCTGTGAGGTCATCACGGACAGACTGCTGGGAGCCGGGGCTTTAATGTCGGGCAGGAGGGGGCTCGCTGTTCACCCAGCATCCTTAAGGGTTTTTTTTCTTCCTCTTCTTCAGTCAAGATTTTAATAGTTGTGATGCAAGTGATTGACCAAACAGATCAGCCCACCTCAACAAGTGGCTGGGGGCGGGGGGCGGGGGGGAGAGAGATGGAGCAGACCAAGGGGTTGCTCTGGGGGTGTCAGTCCCTCTCCTGGGTGCGCTTGTCCTCCATTACACACACATTTGGGTTTATCAGGTTAAAATATTAGGTGTAAAATGTGTGCGTGTAAATACTGTATACGTACTATATATATATAGAATTATATTTATAGGTGGCTCTAGAATGCCCTGACTGGACAGACATTTTAAAGTATCAGCTAGTCTCATATTTCTAATGTCTTAAACATGCCACAGACATTTTTTTTAATTTAAACACAAATCAGAGAACTGACATGTCAATGGCTTGTTTCTAAAATATGTTTTATATAGCTGACATGCATCTAAATTGTTTCTAAAAACTGGGGGAAAACCTGAGTTACGATTAATGCTAAATGCAGCTGTGAACTGTATCGTTAGATTTCTCTTCACATGTTTTATAATGATTCCTTTATCCTTGAAACTCTGGCCCTAAATCCTCACACTGCAGCTGGCTTCATGTTTCCTGTACCGGCACTGGCTTTTAACATAAGGTAACAGAAATACCAAACAAAATAATTAAATTACAGTGTCCTGTGGATAAATCACTGCCCTGTGTTTTGCTGACCTGAATGTCGCTGACTCCCTGGAGTTTCACCTGTTCCCAGTGTTTGGTGCACTTGGGTTTGCTGTGATATAATGGTGTCACCGCCTGCCTGCCTGCCTGCCTGCCTGTCTGTCTGTCTGTCTGCCTGCTTTTGAATCCCATTCAAACGGCTTCAGGCCACAGATGAGGGCAGCTAGCAGCTTGCTTTTGATGCCCTCTGTCATATTGGAGTGCCAGCGTCCCATTGGCAAATCCACAGAAACCGTAACAGCAAATCACAACAGGGAGAGAGAATGCTAAGAAAGGGGCGGGGCTGTTGTCAGTTTCGGCCGAAAGATCTTGAGCTCTGAGTAAACATGCATTGTTTTGGAGGCGTATCCAGAGCATGTCGAGGTGGCGTTGGGGCCGAGGCGACGTTGGGGCTGTGGTGGCTGTTTTCTCTGGTGCACGCGCACGCAGGTGGTATCCCGGTCCTTGGTGTTTGCCTTCGCCGGGTGAACATTTGGCGGTGCCTGTTTTGGTAGTGCCAGGTTTAGGGCATGGGGGCTGTTTGGACAGACTGCCATGGTTCTCTGATCATGCTACTACTGATAATAATTAGCTATGAGCGGCACCATCTGGTAGCTGAAATTTACTCGTATTCCAAGGGAAGGTAGCAAAGTATAGTGCTCACCGAAAGTCTTGGGATGTTTGCTTAATTCTGTACAAATATTTGGTGTTTTATGTTATTGCAGAGGTGTTACTATCTAAAAAGCTCCCATAATGAGACTGCTTGTCAATTAACTTAGAACAGATCTTTTAGAACTATAATTTGGGTTTCAACTTATTACTACTTGAAATTAATGTTTTACTTAAAAAAAATTACTGTTTGTTTTTTATATTTTCGTAAAGCAAATGAAGTACTGATTTTTTTTATAAAACCAATAAATTTCCAATATTTTTGCTAAATAAACAAACGTCCCAAGACTGTGAGCACTATGTATGAATATTGTTTTGCAGTATTTGTATTGCCTGGGAGTCATCTTGTATAAATCATCATCTTAAGTAACCAAACCATTAACTGGAAATTGTTCAGTAGCAGGGTTATTAGTCAGTGTTATAGTAAGAACCTACCACTAATCTTTCAGTATGAAAATGGACTATTTGACTGGAGTAATTGATACAGTATCTGATACTTTTCATTTCTGCAGTAAAGCATGAACAATATCTATCAGATTGTGTTATATGTGCATGGTGCACATCCCCTACCATTTGGCCAGCCTGATGTTCAAATTAGATTAGAGTCCAGCCAATTGAAACTCAGAACTTATATGCATTATTTTTCACAATATCTCGCATAGCAAGGCCGAACCACCTACCTGTGCCTCCTTACTACACTCTTATTTGTTAATGAGAAAACCTTCGATTTCCTGTGCCTCATTTTTATGACTTATTAAATGAGATCCACGTTAATGGTTGAAAATGAGCTTTTGAGTTGAACAATGAGTGAAAACAGGGATAATTGGTTATTATTGATAGTATGTATGCTTTGGGTTTGTGGGGTAATTCATCAAACCGGAAGCTCAGTCAAGCATTGATGGTGAACAGAAGCAAATGTTCTATTGGAAGCATCTTTACCTCGACATGTGGTTTGAAGACCACTGATTGAGCCTCATAGTTAAACCCTATAAAGTCACATTTTTGCAGGATCTATCTCTCCAATAAACATATTAGTCAAGCCTGGTCTGTTTGCTGCTGCTGTCAGCAAAGCAGCCTGTTACCAGGCCATCAGGAGCTCTGGGGGTGGGGGGGAGCAGCTGATTGATGGATACATGCGCGGCCAGTTAATTAGGCCCCCGCCAGGTGGTGTGATGCCATTACACCGGCTCATTATAACGAAGGGCTCGCTGGGGCTGGTGCTGAGAGGGGGGTCACTGCAGGATAGGCCTCCTGACGACGCCCTTTCAAAGACCACCCCCCCCCCCCCCCCCCCCCCCCCCCCCC